TTTGTTGTACTTCGTTCAGTTACGTATTGCTAAATTCAAGTATGCAAGGTCGTGATGAAAATATATACATCGTTTGACAAAATTATGGTTTCATCGAAAAATTGAATTTATGGAAACTAAAATTAATCAAGATAATTTAATATGTTCAGTACTGCTTTACTAGTTGCGGATGGACAACATTTTATCATTACATAGTCGAGTCCATCACATTGTTTAGAAGCAAAATGAAAAATATTTGCAAGTATTAATATGTACTATATGACTGGTTCGAGACCCTTTTAATGTGTCTTGTGTACTTGTTGATTAAACACTTGATTGAAGAAGAAATCTCTTGTTCAATCAAAAAGAACATCGTATTGCAGGTTGAAATTCAAGAGATCACTCTCAATAAATTCTGGATATATATTCTAAAGAATATCCAGGATATCTATAAAAAGCACTGACATTTTTGCGCTCTCAACCTCACTTATCTTTGGAACAAGGGTTTTCAGCGCTTAAGCAATATAAAAATAAAAACGAAAACTAAATTCAGTGGAAAGAAGAAATGAGGCATGTCTCAACTATTCGTCCAAATTAAAAATATTTGTAACGCCCATCAGGCACACATTTTTCATTAAATGTACCTATGTATAAACTACACTTTTTTTTTGTAAATAAATTTAATAACTAATTATACTGTAATTGTAATATTAATAAATAAATAATAAAAATTTCTAATTAAATGTATATAAAATTATAATTAATTCAAAACAATTTTGTTCATCTAAAAAAATGTCAGTGTGCCGTGAAAATTTTTTGAAGTGTACGGTGTGCCGTGTATAAAAAAAGTTTGAAAACCACTGATCTACCTACTGTATCTGAAAATGATAATATGTATTTCTTTACACATTTATAGTGTTCTGTTTGGTCGTCGAATCGTGGATATAAAATTTGTATTTGATCAAATATTGGCCAGTAACAACAAAAATCACATAAAAGAATTTGATTGTTCTTTTATAAACTCTGAATTGATTAAAGAAACACGTAAAGGATTTCATTGCTCATGGTTTTTCAAATGTAAAATGTGTAACGTTGAAACAATAATTCAATCAGATATCGACGACAAAAACAAAATACCAATTAATAAAGCAGTGGCAAATGCATCTATTGCAGTTGGAATTGGCTATAGCCAAGTTAATGAGTTTTCGGCTTTTATCGATGTTCCGTGTATGACTAACTCATCGTTTATAAACAATTGTAATAAAATTGCTGAAGTTGTCAACGACAGTGCTTGGGAACACATGAGACTGGATGGTTTGGAAGAAAAAAAATTAGCTTTAGAACGAAACGATGTTGATACCGATGGTATCCCAATATGTCCTGTAGAGGCAGATGGACAGTGGGGGAAAAGGAGCTATAAAACAAAATATGATTCATTATCGGGAGCGGTAATTTTTATTTTTTGGACTTCAATAATGTTTATACGGCAGGGGCGTCATTTCAATTTTAGATTCTGAGCGGAGCGATGATGTGTGTTTTTTTTGTGTCTGTCATCACCTTTTATATACATATATATATACCTTTTATATTGTTTCAAAGGCAGATGAAAAATATTAAAAATCTGTAGTCACAATTTTTTTTAATAAGCAATTAAAGTTTAAATTTTGACAAAATACGTAAAAATGACGAAAATTTACAAATTATTTTGAGTTGGAAATTCATAAAAATTTTCTTTTACAATGATATTAGATCATTGAATTTAAATTTAATACCATCCATTACAGTGACCCACTTTTAACCTTCTGCTACATCCATTTGCCCCTCCTTTTTTTTTTTTTATTCGTTCTGACAAAATGTGGACATTTCATTTTAAATTAATTCCCATCATAGATATAAACCTATTAAATATAGATATTTCAAAATGACGCGTTAGGTATATAACAAAGAAATACCTATAAAAACAGGTTTTAATATGTGCATATTTATTATTTTAGGCAACAATTATTGGATTCCATACCTCTAAAATTCTTTTTGTCGGTATAAGAAATAGGTATTGTGTTGTGTGTGAGCGAAGTAAGACTTTAAATCAAAAACCAAAAGAACACGAATGTTTTATGAACTGGACAAAGTCTTCTACTTGTATGGAAGCAGATGGCATTGCAGAGGATTTTTTAAAAAGCATAGAGTTACACGGTCTCAAATTCAATCGATTAATTGGTAAAAAATATATATTTTAGTTTTTTTATTTAAAATTATTTACATAGTAATTATACAAAGTATAATATCAAGTAAAATATGTATATATACATATATTATAAAATATAGGTGATGGAGATAGCAGCGTTACAAAACGTCTAAAAGAAGTTATGCTTTATGGTCCTACAAGATTAGTAGAGAAAATAGAGTGTAGGAATCACCTACTACGTAATTTTGGTACCAAAATTTCAGCAATTTCTAAAAACACCAAGTATCCTGTTTTTTTGAGAAACTTTATTAAAACCAACATCATCAAATTCCCTATTGCAATTCGAAAAGCAATTAAGTATCGAAAAAATTTGAAGGCACCAGAGCATGAAAAAATATCAAGTACCTAACTTATCAATTTATAAAAAATACTATTTAAATGCTATGTTATTACTAAATTTCAGGTCTTGTATTGGATATTAGCAATAGTTTTTACCATATATTAGGTCAACATAATAAATGTGATGAATACTTTTGTAATAATAAACAAAAGATTAGTGAAAACTTAGTGCCAGCTGCATTTAACTGTGGATTAATGTCAGAATTTAAATTGGTAGCACAACGACTTATTGATAATGCTACAAGTCTATTACACGATGTAACGAACAATATTTGTGAACAATTCAACAGTGTTATTAATAAATTTATTGCGGGAAAGCGAATTAATTTTTCACAGAGGAATTCGTATAATACTCGTGTAAAAGCTGCAATTGTATCGTTTAACTCTGGTGGAATGTTTCTTAGACATATGCACAAAAAAATTACTAACAATAGTCCAGGTAGACACACATATTATACAATCATTTTTACATTTGTTTTAATTTAATAATTAGTTTAAGCTATAATAATATTGTAACAATTTTTTAGGTAAAATCGGAAAACAATTTTTGTCCACAAAACTCCGAAAACTAACGGAAATGCGAAAACGACGACAACTATTTACGGTTAAAAAAAATAAAAATATTAAAAACACTGGCCCGGACGAATTTTATGGGCTTGTTGAACCCTTAGCAGAAGATGATGTTATGGATGTCGAACAATTTGTAAACCAAAAGCAAAGGTTTCTTGCATCGTTACAATTAAGTCACAAAAAACGTTGTGTCATAGAACAACATACACGAAATCAAAGAAATTGTCAGCAATGGTTTAGTGAAAGAAGAGTTCGACTTACTGCATCCAATTTTGGAAGGGTTTGTAAAATGCGTGCCAATACATCCTGTAAAAATACAGTTTATGACATTTTATATGGAAACGTAACTTCAAAAGCAATGGAATATGGAAAAATAGAGGAAGATGAAGCAAGACAAATATTTGAAACAATGACAAAATTAAAAGTAAAAAGTTGTGGTTTATTTATCGATAAAGATATTCCATACTTAGCTGCTAGTCCTGGTAAATATAATTAAAACAATTAACACAGTCAACTTTTTTTACAATTTTAATGTCTTTTTTTCAGATGGTTTAATAATTGGTGAAAATGCTATAATCGAAATAAAGTGTCCATATTCTGTAAAAGACTATTTACACATTCAAGACGCTATTGTAGATAAAAAGGTTTATATGCTTAAATCAGAAATTATAATAACATATTAAATATTTAAGTACTTCAAAATACTATAAAATGTATTAATAGCTCTTATTTTTTTATTATAAAAATATTTTAGATCCAATACTTGTATTTAGAAAATAATAACATTAAATTAAAAACTCAAAGCTTATATTATTTCCAAGTACAAGGTCAGCTAAGAATAACAAATACAAATTTATGTTATTTTGTCATTCACTCTGAATCATGGACTCACATATTAAATATCAAATATGATGAATTTTTTTGGAGTAATAAAATGGAAAACCAGCTAAAATTGTAAGTACCTATATATCATAATAATAATTGTATATTAGTTAAGTAACAATTAAACAATTACATATGCTTAAACTGATTATAAAATTATTTTCTTAGGTTTTATTTAGATTGTCTTCTTCCGGAAATTATTGATCCCAAATTTGGAAAAAGATTGTTAAAATCAGATATATTAGAACCTAAAAGAATTCAAGATGAGCTGAATAAAAAAACGAAAAATAAATAAGTTTTATTTACTATTTTGTACAATTTTTATATTCATGTCCAGTGTAGGTACCTTACCATAGATACACTCGTATACTAAATATAATATAATATAAAATATTGATATGTATATATAATATATAGGTAGGTACCTAATTGAATAAAAATTAAGTTATTAAAAATTGGCATTGGTTATTTTTTTTAAATATAATTAATGATTTAGTATTATTTAAACTGTTATTTATAATATTTTTCATTAAATTACCTTCCTAATACGCTCAACTTTTTATTATATTTCCACTAGGTAATGACAATTTTTGAGAAACCTTATTTACCAACAATAATTTTTTAAAAAAACTAATAAAAATCGAAATATTCTAATGCCTATAAATAGCTCAAAAAGAGTCAAAATATATTATTGTTCATTTTTATATTTTAACGTAGGTACCTATGGTAATTGAAGGGTCCGGTACTCCGGTGCAACAACAAGGTATCTCCATTTGGTGATTTTGACCGTCAAAATTTGACGAATATTTAAACACAACCAAAGGAATATTTATACTCTTACTTTTTTATTTGATTACATACCTACTATATATTTTATTTAAATATAAATATATACCTAATATAATCAACTGTAGATTATAAAATAATTGCATAATATACACTGTAGAATGTAACCATACAATAATTACAGTTGATTATAATAGGTATACATTTATATTTAAATAAAATATATAATAGGTATGTAAGTAAATAAAAAGTAAGATTTTTTTTGAAAAATGAATTTAACCTACTGTAGTAAATACTAATGCCAATACCAAATTTAATTACTAAACTAATATTTAGATATTTCGGTTACTGTTATAAATTAGATATTATTTACTGTATTAGTATATTGTATAAATTTTTTATAGAGTAAGTATCTAATTCAATAAATACAGGTCGCGTAAGTACGCGCAAATATTAAAAAAATTACGACGGTAATGTACGTGTGACGTGTATGCATTTTATATTTACGCTATCCTACAGAGACGAAGATTGAGAAAATGATAAACGCCGCTCCGAAAGAGCACATTCGTCGGCCGGTCGCCGACGACGAGTGTGGGCGCGGCTTAAACGTCGCATGCTTGCGCATCGCGAAAAAACCTAACAGCGCGTTCTCTCGGTCGTTGAATACGTTTCACTTTATGTGTAGCGTCCTCTTAAAGGACTATACAACTAAAAATACCTATTTTTTTTTATTGTGTTAATGTATAGGGCATTGAAAAAGAATAATTTTGGTGGTCTTAAAATTTTTGTCGGACAATTGGTGCAGTGTTTAAATTTAAGTCGCGTTTTACGCGGGACGTCATAAAATCACACCGTCCGACGGGCGACGGCCCGCATCTAATATACACGCATGGAATTTATTTAGCGCGATTAAAATAATTATTGAGAAAAATTGATTAAAGGTACAAGTTATTTAAGTACATTTATAAAAAGATTATACATTTCTTTAGATGGTTATATTATTTTTATTGCCTTAAAATTTGTTTCAGGGTAGTTTATAGGAAAGACAAAAATTAAAATATATAAAATATCAAACATAAATAGGTTATTAATATACATAGGTATATTTAATAATATTATAATCCGTTATTATATAACGTATTAACAAATGTGTTATTTTAATTTATACTACAAAAACTAAAATAAATGTGTAAAAAACCTCAAGATAAAATATATTCATTCAAACAAAAATACATATGTTATACGTAATTAAATTATTATAATACCAAGAAGTTCCAAGAATATTTAGTACAACTTCTCGTGATTATTTTGATACCAAAATCATGTTTCTACGATCAACGAGGCCTGAGTACTATTGGAAGTACGAAAGCATGTTTTGGCAAAAAAATTATGAATTTGCCGTCGTCATGTGCTGCTAAAACGATTATAGCGGCAGCGTTCTGAAATAGTACTTCTTCCACCACCCCGCTTGCATAAGCAGCCGTACCGCAACTAAGGTCAAAACTGGTTATTTATCGTAGCCGCGCACGGGTTATAAATAGCCAAATACACGTCAATACGAAAATAATAATTTTGTCAATGAATAATATTATTTTATTTTTCGATGTTATAAATCGTATTCTTATTACTATCGTATTTTGCGCAAAATGGAACTACATAATATTATATTGTAAAATTGTCACACATCAGCTAGAAAACGTACGATTTAAACAATTTTTTTTTTCAATTAGAGACAATTGCTCCATAAAATTAGCGTATTGATACTCAAGACAAATTTTTTTAAATTTAAATTAGTTTAACTGTATAAGTAAAATAAGGTAGCCAAGTGGGTGTCGCTCTGCTTCACAATAGGTTACAAGTGAGCACTACATACCTACTGGATTGTGTTAAATTTGAATTCAGTATTTTATAAGAAAAACGAATCCTAACGAAGACGAAGAGTCACCCTATGAATTATATTATAATAATATATATTTGTAACTAGAAAATAATTTAAAATTTGACAATTTTTTTTCAAAATTGAAACATAAGAAACTTATAAAAATAACTTGGGCACGTTGATTTTTAATATTTTTCAACTGCTATTGTAACAATAATATGTGCAGGAGCCTTGAATTAAATTTTCACGCTTCTTGACCCAACAAATTTATAATTACTAATTTATCACGTACATATTATGACATTTTTAAAATTAAAGTATAGGTGTAATATAATATTATAGTAAGTCAGTTATCAATTATCTATATGACCGCTAGCATTAATTTAAGTTATCAATTATTATAAATTGTCATTAATCCAAATGTTGTGTTTTAATTAATTATTATGTATAAATAAATGTGTTCTGTACATTTGTAAGTACCTACATAATTTAATTTTAATTTATATATATTATATGAACAATAAAAATGTTTAGTTTATACATATTGTATTTTTTTACATATAGGCACTGCAATTGCAATAATATAAATAATTATATTATTACAGTAGGTATTTATTTAATAAATATTATGTACAACAATCAACTTCATATTTTATGTAGGTATTATGTTTAAAATTAAAATAAGTAAATACATCAATATTTACTAATCAGAACTATTTAAAATGTTATTAATAAATAAAAAATTAAATTATCGAACAAAAATTGTTTCATGTCATTTATAAGTTACAACGTAAAATACGTAACACTTTTACTAAAAAATCTATTTAATCGTAATGAAATTATTATTTTATATGTATTTTAAAAAGTAATTGGGTTAGAAATATAAATCGAGTTCTGGTGTATAATAATTTGTATGCTTAATTTATTGGTTAATATTTTTAAGCAAACAGGAGCTTTAATTAAAAAATAGGTTTGCGACTTGCGAGCCAGTAGCGAGTCAGCGCACAGTATAGAATTCACGAGCGACAATTTACGTAACGGCCTGTAATCACGTTTGACGCGAAACGTTCTAAACGACAGTCTGTGAAATAATAATGTACCTCTCCCGCAATAACAACACGCGGACCCCGTCGCGTACACGATGGGCGTGGTTACGGCCTACCGCGACGGCGGCGATATGAAATTCAACGCCATCTCTTGAGCGTTGTATACGTTTCACTTTTACTGTGACGCACTCTTAATAATATAAACTAATTTATCAATTCTAAAAAACAGAGTTTTTGTTAGGCAATGAAGAATAATTAATACTGTTTTTATTATTTTTTTAACTAATGCATGTTAATTGTTATCTATTTATTAGTTATTTTCATATCAACGCATTAACAATAATTGCATCTATTAAAATTATTTGTAGTATTCATACTTCCGTACATAAGATATTACTATGACCTATAATGAATTATTTTACCTTATAACGACTATCAGGATCCATCAAAAATGTATTATATACTTGAGTAATTTCAAGTACATTCATCTAAAAATATTAAAAAATATGTCTTTAAAATAAAAATGTAGGCGTAAAATAAATGTTATTATATGTCGTTATCGTATTAGATATATGAAGTTCTTCAATTTCAAATTAAAAAAGTATGTTAAAATTATTATTATGAGTTATGACTACTATTTCAAAAAAATATTTATTTGATAAATTAATAGGATTCATTAAGTGTTAGTTTTAGTTTTTTTTTTAACTTCATTAATATATTTTAACGATAACATAATTTTTAGTATTCAAAAATCATTAAAATTTAAACATTATGCATGATTTACCAATTTAATTCCAAGTTCATTACGCTCCATCAAAAACATAGTAAATAGTTCATGTGCTTCCAAATTTCTCCAACGGTCCTAAAATTAATCATTTTAGCTGTTTATAAATATAGTGTTAAATAAAGAAATGAGCAAAACAGTGAGAATTACAAAAATCACTTAAAGCTTTGTTTTGTATGACCTAATATATGACTAGATTAAATTAATTAAAAGTGTATATCACACATCTGTCGTATACAATGGTCATTTTATTTTATAGGTATTTCATTATTTTTCAATATTATTAAATATTTTCACTTGGTGACAAAAAACGTCATTTGGAAGGAATAAAGAAAACGTAGAGTCTAACATTAATTAAAGCAATTAATTAAAAATGTATGCTGTTAGACCTAATACCAATAATGATTAGATCTCTAGTTCAAATACAAAAATATTCATAGAAAACGCCTAACATAAACATCGAAAAAATCTTTTTAAAAATTGAACTTTAATTAAAAATAAGTACTATTAAATTATTTAATAAAATAGCATTTAAAAATAAACAATCCACTGGGTCTTTTTTTACGCAACTAATGCAAAAACAAATATATTTAATTTAAATAAACGAATTTACTATATTTTTACAATACAAAAATAATGAAATTTCTGTAGATACAAATCAATAAATTATTACAAACTTTAATTTAGTATCAAAAGACAATTATGATAATATAGAATTACCACCTAAGAAGAATAAAAATAGTACATTTATTCGTAATTATAATAACGAGTAGGAATAAGTATGGAGATAGTTGTTCTTCTGGTTCTAACAGCATTCCGAAACCATAATACGTATTGTGTTCTGTGATTTTATCAAATAAAGCAATGCAACTTGCTAAGTTTATTCATCACTTAGAAACAAAGCATAAGGAATTTATTAATAAGCCTTGTTTGTTATGGTAGCCTAGTCCACTGACTACAGTTGTACCGTAATTGTTTGAAGGGGGTATTAATGTAGTTCTATAAATGATTATTATAAAATAAAAAACACTGTAATATTTGTGAATGGACTATATGAGAATATATAGTTTAATTATAAATTAATCAAGCAAATAATTATTAATATACATGAGAGCTACTTATTGTCGGCGGTACACGGCGGTCGACTCTTGATAACGTGACAATCATCGACGTTAATTATACGTATTTAAAACGGCGAGAACCAACCGGAGTGTCGGTAACGTTCACGTGTAATACGGATATCAAAAAACGAGACGCACCTTATGTTAGGGAAATGGTCATATAACACTAAACGTCACCACAAACACAAAAAATTCGTGACATAAACGAAATAATAAAAATACCAGTACGTGTTTATCAGCCGACCGATACACACGTGTATTCCCGGTCTACGTTAATCGCATGTTTAGCTTCCGATAGCAGTATACGTGAACGCCTCAATCGCTAAGGTATGTTGTTTAATCTCTCACGATGGATGACATAAATTCAAACTCCAACTTAACTACACCATCAGTTCAAAAATCCAATACTCAAAAAACTTTCGCAGAAACAACCGCTAATGTCCAATTCCCTAAAAAAGATCAAGCAGTAATATTTAATACCATCGAAGACATCCCCCAAATTGAATATATAAAAGCATTTAGCCTACTTACTAATCCTAACAATATTAAATTTGCTTCACGCATATCAAACAATCGTTTTTGTATCTATTTTGCAAACAAAAATATCGTAGAACACATTATCATCAAACAGCCATACATTATTATAAATAACAAGGAGATAGCCTTTCGCCGTCTTATCAACCAAGCCAAACGTGTAATTGCGTCCAATGTACAACTGGTCATACCGCACGACGTAATTACTAATGCGTTCAACAATTTATCAATTAAAGTAATTACACCGATAACATTCATGAATGCAAGCTTCGCTAATGATGAATTTAATCACATAGGAAGTTTTCGACGTCAACTTTATATTCATCCTGATAACATCAATAAAATGCCCAGTTGAATTCTAATCAATTTTGAACAAACAGATTATCGCATTTTTCTCTCAGATGACACAGTGATGTGTTATCTCTGTAAACAAACGGGCCACACATCTAATTATTGCAAAAAGGAAATTGTAAATAAATCCCAAACCATGCTCGTTGAAAACCCGAATCATATCTCAAATAATATGAACGCAGATAATAGTATGCAAATCGACTCAAATTCAAACAGTGAATCTCAACCCACCCTCTACAACTACTCGATTCCTATCTCTAATATTACTGAAACAGATAATAATGTTCTAATAGATCTAAGTACCAATAGTATAGATAAGCTCATGGAAACCAACATCGAAAACACTTCCGAACAAACATCCAAGAAACCAGCCTCATCCACCTCCAGCATCTCCCCCTCAATTAATCCGTCAAACGTTAATAACCAAATTAATAGTTCTACATCTCAAATCAACACGCTAATTTAACAATCAAAGAAGGTAACACTTGCAAACAAACTATTAGATTCCGCGAAAACCCCCCAACCACTGCAAAAAAAACCAAAACGATCAAATTCAATGGAACAGATCATATTAAAGTCGGATCAATCACTTGAACCAACAAAAATCGTATTTGAAACAATACCAAATTTAAAAATAAACTTCACCCAATTAAAATTTATCATCGAAAACACAATAGGCATACCCAACCCTATGAGTATCATACAACCCTTTAACTTATTACCCATGGATATGATGGAATTTATTGACACAATCCGTCCGAAAATCAAGATTGCAAGTATTAAAAACAGGATTTCAAATCTATATCAAACTATATCAGACTCATCAGTATCCGAAGATCCTGATCCCTCAGGATATTAATTAACCAACCAAAAATCAACGTATATAAAAAAAAAAAAAACCTTATTTCTAATTATTATGCAGAATATAAACTTGAACAAATTCCACATCGTTCAATGGAATCCAAATGGATTTTATTTTAAAATCGATGAAATTAAACTATTAGTCAACAAATTTTCTCCAATAGCATTGTACATCCAAGAAACAAATTTCAACAACAACAAATTAATACATTTAAATAATTATTCAAGCTATATTAAAAATAGAAACCACGCAGGAAGGGTCAGCGGTGGAGTTGCCATTTTTATAAATAATACTGTCCTTTCGAAGAAATTCCCATAACGTCACATCTCGAGGTAATAGCTGTAAACTTAACAGCTAAAAGCAATTTAACCATTTGCAATATTTACTTACCAAACTCTCAAGACTTCAACGCTTTAGATATCCAAAATACCATTGATCAACTACCCACCCCATTTATCGTTCTGGGTGACTTCAATAGCCACAACACTCTGTGGGATTGTAATGACACCGATCCTAGAAGAACCAAAATCGAAACAATTCTTAATACCAATAACATCAACATTCTTAATAACGGCCAAGCAACAAGAGTGAACTCCAGTAATGGCAACCTTTCTGTTATTGATCTATCCTTCTCCTCTGCAACAATATCACCTAATTTAGAATGGGACGTTATTCCGGAGCTTTCTAGTAGTGATCACTTCCCAATTATTAAAATAACCTTATGCCATACCAACCCATATGAAATACACACCCGTAACCCTAAATGGAAATTATCAAATGCTGATTGGAACAAGTTCCAAACGGAAATCGTAAAATTCTAAAAAATTCATTTTTTTCTAATGAAAATACTGTTGATGAAAATATTGAACAACATAGCTACTCTGGAAAACGCCCCCCGGTCCATTGGTGTAATATGATATTAAACACGCTATAAGAAATAAAAAGACATCGTTTAATAAATACAAACGCACTAAACAAATCCAGGACTTAATTGATTTAAAAAAAAACAAAGCACAAGATTTTTAATCAAAAATGAAAAACAAAATCATGGATACATTTCACCTTAACATTAAATTCCAAAGAGTCAGTCAACTACAAAAATCTGGAACAAAGTTAAAATCATAAAAGGGATACCATCGGTTTAAATTAAAACCATTTTAACAGACAATGCAATTCATACCGACCCTCTTACAATAGCTCAGTCAATTGGGCATTACTTCTAATCAAATAGTAGCAACGCCAAATTAAATTCTGACTTCCAAAAATATAAACAAGAAACAGAAACCAATAATTCCCCTTTTATTTATGAGAACCAAAGCTTTTAGGGGACATTCTAAATGAACCGATAACATTAAGTGAACTAAATACAGGTCTACTAGGTAAAAAGAGGAACAGTTATAGTTCTGACAAAATACCTTTTATCGTTTTACAAAACCTACCCCCAAGAGGCAACCTCTTACTACTTAAACTATTCAACCAGATCTGGCGATTGGGGATATTACCAATCAAATGGAAAAATGCTATTATGACTTCATACCTAAACCAATCCAATCAATTATCTTTGCTGACGATAAACACATCTTTGTTAGAGGAAATTCAATCTTTTCAATAACTAAAGTATTACAGAATGCCTCAATGAAGTGTCAAAATGGTGTCATAATTCAGACTTTATTTTTTTTACACACAAAACCAAATGTATCCTTTTTTCTAAAAAAAAGGAACATAACCAGACCCAAAATTTACTTAAATACCATCTGCTTGCTTTTTACCGAAAACATCACTATTCTTGACTTTACCTTCGGTTTTAAATTAACATGGAAACCTCACATTTTGAAAACCAAAAAATCAGCCTACCAAAACCTAAGAGTAATTAAAACGCTTATATAGTCATCTAGAATGGGGTGCCGAGTATTCCATTTTATTAAATTTATACAGAACACTAGTTAGATCAAAACTAGACTACGGCTCAATCTGCTATGGAAACTTTAATTGTAATATATCCAAAATTCTTGACCCAGTCCATAACACCGGTATAAGATTTGCAATTGGAGCTTTCAGAAGCAGCCCTATCTCCAGCTTATTAGCCATCACTGAGGAGCCTCCACTTCAATATCGCAGGCTAAGACTATCACTCAAATATATAACCAGAATTTTGTCCACTCCTGATAATTCAACAATTCATTATCTAAATATAAACCAATCTCCATCTG